GGTTGGATGCGGGGTGTACAGCCATGCTGTGTTGCCCAAATAGATATGTTCCATCTGAGAGTGATGAAGCCTCTGGAATGATCCCCCTAGACAGACGAGTGCTACTTGAATGTTAATAAGAGCTCCTTTAGACATGCATAAATTAAATGATTAGATGTCTGCAATCATTCAAGGTCCTTAGGTGTCTCCTATTTATGGCATTTGAAATGTAGCTGCCTTTATTTACGACATGTCCCCTCTGCGCGGGCTTCGCCACCTGAGCAGCCTAACGCTTTCAAAAGACGAGGTTTTTAATGACCTGCAAATGAATCACTCTGGCAGAATCGTAAGAGGCGCACGTCACCCCCACCCAACATCGCCCCCCCCCCCCCCAAAAAAAAAAAAAAAACACCCCCCCTTAAAAAAAAAAGAAAAACAAAAAGGGAAATCGTGCCATTCACTGTAAGAGCCTGTTTTTTATCTGTGCTGAAATACAGGAAATGGGAGGGCGAGGGGGGCACTTTTGTTTGAGACTGAAAGATCCACCACCGAATCAGAGGGAGAGAGCCTCGAAGGACTGCAGTCTCCCAGTGCAGTCGCCTGACAATGACTCTTCCTCCTCCTCAGTTCACATGCTTTTCATTGTGGTTTTATGGTTCCAACAACAGCTATTTTCATCTTCATGATTGCATTAATTACAGCATAACTCATGTCTCCCTGCGCTGCTAGTGTTTTCCCCATAGAAAACAGCATGTCAAAGCTACCACAAAGGAAGAGAACAGTACATATACTCAGTTGGCACTTCATTAATCAACATAGGAATCCAGCATGGCTTGACACTCGTCTAGTTTCAATTCAACCCACTCCTGGAGTTGTTTTTTTTTTTCTAATAATGTCATTTATTTCTGTTCTGAAGTTTTCAATGATTTTTTTCAAACCTAATTTCCACAGAAGTAGAAACACATTCGTTCTCAATGCAATAGAGCAGGGACGTCAAACTACTCAAAGTTGTGGTCCGAACAGGATTAGCATTTATAGAACAGTCTTATTTAACCAGCAATAAAGAACTTGAACTGACCTTTTGCTCAATAAAAAAGTAAAATATTTTAATTACAAATATTACCATCAAGCAAAATGAGAAAAAGTGAATACAATTCTAGCTCAGGCTAACTGTACATTTGATGAGAATTGTAAATAAAGAAGTGAAATTGTAAGTTACCAACCACTGCTTACACACACAAACAAAATGTGACCATTGCATTTAACCTCTCCAGTACACATTAGTACAACAATAAACATGTGACGTTTCGGTGGGCCACATTAAATGATGCATTGGGCTTTCAGTTTGACACATGCAATCGAGGCTTGAGCTCCTAGTTTAGTAGAGATTTATTTAATGCTGAGACGACATGTCTGTGTTGGTACTGTGTTTTTGTCTGTTCACGGGGCTTTGCAAAGTATAGAGCAACGAGATGGAGTACGGTACTTCTGAAAGGGACTTTTGGATCTGGGGTGTGAACAGATGACCAAAACCATGCAGGTTGTCAACAACTGAAGTTACAAGAGTGATGAGTGTAATCCTTTGTCAAACTTGTATCTGCTTCCCTACATTTTGGGTGTTTTAGCATAAAAAGGCAGATAATAATAAATATTACATTTGGTATTGATTAACAAATTCAAAGACCACTGCAATAATTCCAATTTACCTTTCATTTTACAAAGCGTACCATTATTTTCCGGAGATGGAGTTGGTAGATACTTCGTTATTAGCAATCTGAGCTAGAGCTGCACATTACGAATTCAAATAAAGCCTTGTGATGGACGGGCCATACGCCACTGCTTTTATATCGCGTTAATGGACAAATTTTTCCAGAGTCCTAAAAAGACCTCAGTTTGCATTGGCGGCGATAAAAAGAAGCACCTTTGTGCAAAAAATTACACACTCTCAGGCCGGGAACAGAGAAAGCCGAGAGAAAGAAATTTCTCTTAAGATTTTCACAACACCCCCCCTCTATTTATTAGGGTAATGAATTTCCTACTGCAGTGCCAGTTCCACTGAGCCTGCTCCTCGGCCTAATTCTCTCTAACATTTCCTCATTGCCGCTGGGGAACATTATATGAAGGCAGGGCTTGCAATATACCATCAATATGCCCAAGACGACAATCGGACGTCTCATAGATATTAATGGAAGTGCAAATTAAATCAAAGTTGGAGTGCAGCTATCGGGAGCTGTGATCAATGCCTTTTGCACAGTCAGATTTAATATGGGCTTTGTAATTTGAGTATCCAAACAAAACATGCATCTTAATGGGAAAGATGAAAGTAATCCCACATGGGGAGGAAATAATACATTAGCTGCATTGTAATTAGAGAACTCGGATTGCAAATGTTTCCCCAGCTCGGTATTAATGCTGAATAAAAACCCGATACATTTACAACGTGGCTGCAGGATGTGGACATTCAGATTGGTTATTTTAGATAGGCCACAAGTTGTCATGGAAGACATTTGACAAAAGGATAATGAAACTGTATGTTAATGACACACTGCTGCTTATCAGGGTCCACCTCTGCGATTAATACAGCATCATTAAAGCAACTCCTGCTTTATATACTTATGATGGGAAACTATTAAAAGGCAAACAGTGGATTCTTATGCATGTGATAACAACGCATTTGATTTGGTTGGTTTAAAAGAAAAAGAATAGCATGTTTTAAAATCAGGAGGTGAAAAGGAAAGGCTTGATTGGATAGCTGTGTTTGCTGAGATTGAGGAAGAGAAGAGAAATGTGCTAGGATATTATTTTAAATATCATTTACAAGTAGAATAAATGGTATTATTCAAAATGGGATTCTTACTCTAACTCTCTCTCTAATAGTTCCTAAAGCATGCAAGACCACGAGATCCCGTGATAAACCGATTGTTGTAAAGAAAACAACAACAAGAAGTAGTTCACTTTGCCTCTGTGAAAGAGCACTTATGTATCTGGTGGTTTTCTACAATGCGCCTCTCTGGCCTTTTGACCTCTGACCTGATGTCACCGGAATAAACATATAGGGTTGTTTATTTCAAAGGTCAGTGGAAGTCGTGTGCTGATATTGTGTCTAATTCCTGATGTAATCTGTTTAAATTGATGTGACATCCATAGAAAAATAGACTTGCTACAGTCCGACATACCGCAGCTGGGCTGAATATGCAACTGCAACACAGCCACAAGGCAGAGCAGCCAGTTTATAATGACACCATGTAAAGTCAGCAGGTTACAGCAGGAGCACAAACAGGACAACAGCTTTTCAATGAATAACACATGAGACCTCCAACAGAGGTAGACGATGGCGTACAAACACAGGATCACATCAGAGCCCACTGAGCTTGTCATCAAACCTAATGCAACTGCAGCTGGTCGGAAGCAAAGAGGTCAACAGTCAGTTTCAGATGTTTTCATTAGGATATCCACTGAATCAACACGCTTCTAAGTAGAGTAAAAATAAAGGTCTAATACTCTCACACTAGGTAGCAACAGGTGGCTATAAAAACTAAAGACAGAGCGAGAGAGACTCAGATTCTCGTTACGATATTTCGTGTTTGTCTTTCTTCAATTCCTTCAACATGTTGTTCAACTAAACAGGCCCAGAAATCATACCAAAGTAAATTGTGAGTAATTAAAACTAGAATATCAGTATATATCATTATAGTTACTGGTTACATTTTTGTTTCATAGTGCACTGCAGCAATCTGTGTCGACAGGCGAGCATGGGTTACAAGGACATGTGAAGGACATTCACACTCCCATTCACAACTATGGTCCATTTAGAAAAATGCCTCACTCACAGGGAGAGAACACGCAGACTCCGTAACCGCTGTAAAGGCAACATTTTACACCATGTGACCCTTAATATCAATGTCTGGATTCAAATCTGTTGACAGAATTAGCTGCGTGTAATTTATCTTTCTTCATTGATTTACTACCACGTATAACAATGACATTTTCTGGGTGAAGTGAAAATCATGTTCAGCCATGTCATTGCTTCAGATCAAATCATCTCAGGTCATTACACTTGAAGTTCACAGAGCACAAGTAGACCATAACAGAAGATAAATGTTAACATTTTATTTTTGTCGTTGCAGAATCCGACCTCTGATGATAGCATCTCGCCTTACTTTATATACTTTAACATTTCGTCTTCTAACACCAGGCTGAGTGGGTGTATGTAACACAATGATAATCCATCAGTAAAAGTGTATAGATATTGTCAAATGTTAATATGTCATCCATAAATCTCTGAGCATTTGTCAGTCAGACAGAGCCTGCGTGACAAGGAAACATTTCCTACACTTGTTGTTGATTCATGGACTGAGGCATTCTGCTGAACTGATGCTGTTTTGACCACATTATCATTTAATCAGATTTGAAGAATAACAACAGGAGTGTGTTTTCCTATTGCAGCAGAATAATGCGACATGTTGGTGAAAGGTGGTCATAAATAAACTTTTGGAGGAAGGACTTTTGCTTTACTGATACAAATGTAAGCCTGAGGGATAAAAGCACCAAGGATTTGAACTGAACTACAGTGTTAAAGTAGTATTTAGTTTGAACTCTCTTCCTGTTTTTAAACTGCAACGTAAATAAGAAAAACATATGCATGTATATTAGAGGTTTTCTATCACATTTTAATTTTTTAAAATATTTAATTTAGATATTTGAAAATTATTAAAAATAATTTTAAAAATTATTAATCCAAAATGCATAAATATTTAATTTAGATGAATTTTTGAAAATTATTAAAAATTATTTTAAAAATTATTAATCCAAAATGCAATACACTATAGGCTTTGAAATAAATATAATAAATTATACTATCTAACTTGGGGCCTTTAGAACAGAATAGAGATTACTATTTGTCTTTGACTTTTCTAACCTAAAGAACTATCTTATCATGTTAAACACTGGGCTCAACTACATTTAATGCATTTGAAATGTCCACCATCATATTAAATCACAGATTTAAACACAGTCAGGGTTTGTTTAGCCGAATTAAAGAAAGGTGAATTTTATTTTATCACAATCTCTTCATACACACATAGGGCTAAAGACACTGGTATTACAGAAAAGATTGCAAATAATATGATACAGTAACTTCCATTTACTTTGTATCTGGGGTTTAATGCTGGCCGTCGTTATACTGCCCCTTTGTGGTAAGATGTGGAAATAATCTCAAAGGAGCGTCGTCGTCTTTTCTCGGAACTATTCTGCAAACATACACATGCTGTGCCGAAGTTTTGATATTTGGTCGTAAAAACGAGGATAACAATCCTAATAATAACTTTGTGCCCGTGCAGCTGGAGATAAATGGCGCAGAGCAGAGACGATGATCAGATCTCACTCCATATCTTAATGGGATCCTCTTACAAGCCATCCCCGTTAATGACCAATCCTCCAATTATGTAAATTCAGAGAACGGTCACTAACAGCCAGAAATTGAAGTTTCTTACGCAAACAGCAACAGAGTCACATTGCAGAGAGTTTTAATGAACGACTACTTTCTGTATAATTGCAGTGACCAGGGTCACGTCCTCAGCTGACCCTCCTTTTAAGCATTGTTTCTCAGCCCACAAACAGTTAATAGAGCAATTAAGATGGCACTAACAAGGGCCACTTGTGGGGAGCGTTTGGGCCACAAAGTGCTGCACAGAGGCGAAGAGGGATGCTGTAATAGTACATATGTGGCATGAGAGTCCGGAGGGGGATGAGGAGTCAAGGTGCAGACGGTGCATCATACGACTCACAGGCCTCTCCCTGCTACAGTGGAGTGACTGTAAACTGATGGGCTTCACTCAACCAGCCATGTTGAATTAGTTGTGTGGCTCTTTGAAGCCCCAACATGCTTCACATTAATTTTTAATGTCATTTTTGTAATCGCAAAAAGGGTTTTTTTAAAAAAAAAAATAATAATAATAATACATACAAATATAGCCAAACCATTACAGTTTCAAGATGGCAGCTTTGTGCAAAAATATAGGTGAAAAACCAGCCACAACAACAAAAGAAAAAAAAAAACGTTTTCCTTTTTACTGTGACTTGAAACTACACTTGAAACTACAGAAGCGTCAGAAGTGTTTTTACCCAAACTTTGAAGGGAAAACTGAGGAGACGAGAAATGATGGATACAGTCTGTATTTATTTTTTTAAAAACCGGACATGATAAATTGTGCTGTACGTCTACTGTCTGTGATTCATGGCCTTCTCTCCAAAGGATGTTTTTTACACATGATCTTATAAAGAGGTGAAGGCACTATGGACCCCTGAACTCTTGTATAATTGTTACAATAAAATATTTGAAACTTTGAACTTTTTTTTATAAATCATAATGTTAAAATGTGATTTTGCAAAAATAAAACCAATAACCCTGTTTTCTTATGTGCAGTCTCAGGAAAGTGAAGAGAAGCAAAGTTTCCATTTTCACATCTCCTCTCCTAGCTCTACCACAGACTTTGCCCACCCTCTATGACTAAGTTATGCCCTGTCATGTAGTCAGAGGCTTCAGATGCCAAGTAGACCACTGCAGCTTGCAGGTCTGTCACATGAGCCAGTCTACCAGCAGGGATATCTGACAGCCAGCGCTGCACCAGGGGCCTCAGACTCTCTGAGTGGATGAGAGGGGTGTCAACAATCCCCCTGGAAAGACGAGCAGAAAAAAAAAAAAAAGGAAATCAGAAGGCATCACAGTGGAGGGCCAGGAGTGACAGCGTTGTTTCATAGCCACCACTTTGGTGGCAAAAAATAAACCCAATTATCCCTTGAAGAAAGGGCAATGAATGGCATCTCTGATATTTACTGTGGGACTGGTGACGGCACTTTGACTGGCACCTCTGAGGAGAAGCCCGTGGGTGTGAGGAGGTGTTTGTTGCTATTTTCTAATAAAGATTCTGTTTAAAATGTATACTGCACTCAAATTCTTTAACTAAAATTATTTCTAAATGCTCAAATGGACGTAAAGACAGACTGAACGAATAAGAAAGTTAAAAATAACTGTTTTAGCCACAAGGAGGAAAGAGCAGACAAGATGGGGACAGAGATTTGCCCTATTATAGTTAGTAAACTGCACAGGTCAAACGATAAGGTTCAACCTCCAAGAAAGACAAGCATGAAACACATCTATGCCTGAGCTAAAAGTCCAAAAATATGACAATGACTCCAAGTTAGTGCATCAATGACAAACACCTTTTTTAATCCTGCCCATGTATATGTTAGGCCATGGAGGTTCAGTGAAGCTGCATTTACACATGTACAAGCAGTATTTGGTTTAGTGTTGTCTAACAGCTCTATATAACAAAAACACGTCTGTTCTTCTGACCTGCTCCACTAAAATGTCACAGCCCTTACATTTGAATAAATATGTCCACACACCCACGTGAGTACCACACAATGCGACTTCTGGCTTTCTACAACAATAGATGTGACAGTGACTGAAAGCAACACGGCACAAATCATTGTTCCGATGAATCCCGGAGTCTTGATATAGAATTCCAACATTTGGCTAAATTAGCACTTCCAAGAAGCGTGTGACACCTTGGTTAACATATTCCACCTCAATTATTTTTCTCTTCAGCTGCCCTGTTATCTGGAACCTTTCCTGGCAATCAGAGGTACTATTTTCCCTCAGCCAATTTTCTAGATAATGCAGCTTATCACCGCTGCGGCTAAAGTTGCCAATGAAATCAGGCTGCAGTCACCCTTGCGGGCGCTAATTGTGTCCCTTTTTTATGCATATTTACTGACTGTCACTTCAAAGAAATCAGCAGTCCACTGAGACACATGGTTAGCGAGAGGAGAGAGAGAGAGAACAGTTTCTTTGCAAATTAAAATTAGCAAACACAGTGACTAAAAGCGCCTCGTGCATGTCTGCTGTGGATGTGTGTGTGTGTGTGTGCATACGAGAAGCCATTCTTGTAGGGACATTTTTCTGGGAAAAATACTTGGTCTATTTAGGGACATTTTGTAGGACCCCTTTGAGTGAGATGCTATTTTGAGGTTTAAGATTTAGTTTGAAGTTAGGATTAGAATTAGAGTCAAATTAGTTATGGAAAGGATTAAGATTCAGCCTATATTTCTTTAATGGTTAAGGTCAGGGAAAGGGCCCAGGGAATACACTGAGTCTGTGTGAGGTGCCCACAAAACAAAAAAACTAGTCTGTGTGTGTGTGTGCGCGCGCGTCAGTGTCAGTGTCAGTGTACGTGCGGTGGCTTTGTTCTGGAACTGCATCTGGGTCTGCCCCAGCTGCCCCGTGCTACTGGATTTGCACGTGCGCACACAGCCTCACTCGAGCACTTT